TTTTGAAAATTTCATAATAAAATATTTAAAATTTCCAGCTTCAGCCGTTTCCAGCTTCAGCCGCAACAATTATTATCAAAGATCTGCTGATGAAGTAGACGATCTTGGATATGATAGTCGGAAGGTACAAAATATCGATTTGAGAAATGAATTCCCAGATCAACGACCATCGAAGCGAATCATGAATGGTATGATGGTATTGAACGATCGTGGAATAGACCCTATGAAGTTATGTTGCATAAATCGTCGATTGATCAAGATGTATGGTGTAATGATGAATGTGGATCGAAAGGTAAATTGGAGTCATGCTGCGTGGAGTAGTGGTGAAAAAATCGAATTCCTTAAACGATTGTATTTGGATCATATAATCAGATGTGATGGAATGGTGAATGTGGTGTTCGGAAGTCGTCTTGATGTACGAAAGCTTGGAAGAATCGATGTACGATCAATGTTGGGTCGGGAATAGTTATAACAGTCGATAGGGATTGCTTGAGGCCAAAATTATGTGGACATTTGAATGTTACTATAGAATAATAATTTATGTATGTTAGAAGTTAGTAATTGGGATGTTTTGTGTTGGGTAATTTGTTTACAGGGGTTTAGACTTCGGGACGAAGTCCTGGGGGTCTAGCTCATGACATGGTAGATTTGGTTGACACATGTTTAGTAGCACGGGATCAGGATCGGGTTCGTGTAACTTACGCGTTGCATGATCGATCATCATGTAAGATAAATAGAACAATGGTCTTTAGTAGTCTAGAGAGCGAACGATTAGAATAGAATAATCTTTAGTAATAAGAAGCGTCTAAAACTATAAACTGTGTGTTTACATATCGCATTGTACGTGGTATTTGGGTGGTAGTATCTGGCACGATACTCCAGTCTTCGCTGATAAGCAAAGCGAGTCTCTCCATTAAGAATCTATTGAGAAAACCCCGTAGTTGAGAAATACCTTGACATTAATTTAGGCCAAAAATTGAAATTACATCCCTGGGCGTTATTTCGGATTTATAAGGTATTGAAATCACGAACACATCATTGTTGAGCCCACAAATATATATTGCCGAAATGGCGAACCCACCCATGGTTGAAGTCACGACTTCACATTACTAAAATAATTAACCATCTACCTACTGTTGAAGTTATGCACTCATTAACTATTGAAATTACAAGCCTACCTATTATTAAAATCATGCTAATAAAATCATAAATTCACCCACTGATAAAAATACAAACCTATTACGATAAATGTGAACCTATCCATCATTAAGAATATTATGGCCACACCCCGCTGTTCAAACCACGAGCCATGTATTGCTGAAGTTATAAACCCATCCACAATTAAAATTGTTAATTTACCTACCCAATGTTGATTAATTGCAGTATTAAAATCACTAACCCAGTTACTATTTAAATCATGAACTCTCTCTATATTAAGAACATAAACTTAATGTTAGTGTTAAATTACAAACTTACCCATTGTTGAAATTATAAACCCACCTATTGAAACCCCAGCCACTATTGAAATTGCATAAACCCATCTACTGTTGAAATCATGAACCTACTTATTATCAAATTACAAATCACCACTGTTGAAATCACTAACCTATCTATTATTGAATTCATAAACTCATCTATTGTTAAAGTCACAAATCTACCCACCGCTAAAATTGTTAAATAAAAACATCAAAGCATACAACTCTAAAATGGATGGTATAGGTTATTCAATCTGTTTGACAGAACATACAGTTACTATATGAGATCATCGAAGGATAAAATGACTATTCCTAGATTGTGAAAGAAACTTGATTTGTGGTGCATAGATTTTGCATAGATCATAATCCAAATGAATAAAAAATTGAAATATTAATTCATAACAAATGCCAGTTGAATAAAACCGTTGTAATGAAACATTTTTACCTCCCAGATATGTCTATCTTCAAAATCTTTATCACCCATCCTTCTTCAATACTTGATTTTACAGATTATTATTACTATAACCTTATCGTTATCCGCTAATTAAATTTTATTAATATAGATTTGTGGGTTGACAAATGAAGAATTAACCTATGGATTTATGAATCGAATGAAAATTGTATTATACAAATATAAAATAGCTGCGCGGTGTTGTCATGTAAAACCCAGAATGAAAAGATGTGGGAAAGTATTACATTTAAAATATGTATACAGTATTGTATAGCAATTAATAAAATATTTTTTGATAAGTAACATACAAGAACTATATAACATAAGAGCACAATTCAATACAGTATATTTATTACTAACCCTTTAAGCAATTCTTTAAATTTGAATTTTAACAACTGGATTTGTATACCGATAATACAATATGTCTGGCTAAAATAGATTCTTAATACAATTATTCAGCACCACAATATCTACCTAATGATTTACATTTTTCACAAAGATCTTGAATATGGCCCTTCAATTTTTTATCACTATGCTCACCGTTAAACTGAGCAAATTTTTTCCTATAAAAACTATAAATCAATCTCTGTTTAACTCTTTCTTTAAGAAATTTAGTCAATAATTTTTCCCTATCAAATCGAGCATTTTGATCACATTTTAAACATTGCAAACGATATTTTCTCACTAGTACTATTTTTTTAGGTTTTACTTTTAAGTCAGCATTGCATAATGAGGAAGAAAACTGATGTCCACATTGACAAGATAAATGCCAATAGAATTTAATGCCCACCATACGACCATTTCCTGAGGCTAAAATTTCAGACATATTCACCTCTTCAATTTGGTGATAATCCTTTAAGTGGCTAAGAAATTCAGGAAAGGATTGGAGTTCGTGTCCACATTTGCAAAAAAACTTATAATACCCGTAATTACTTTGGGATGCCATTTTCTTCCTTGGTATGCTCGTTAAGTAAGAACTTTTGAGACCTTTTTCTTGAAGAACAGGGACCTTTTTATTGGAAAACAGGATAGTTGCTATTCTCCTCCTTGGATTGCTAGGTAGTATTTGAATTCTTCTGTTTAGGAAGAAAGGAACAAGATGTTTTAAAATACTAAACTCCGTCATATTTCTTTATGATTGTATTTAGGATAGTGTAACGAATTAAAATTTTATTTTTTATATTATTGTAAATAATCCCTTTATTTCTTCGGTAAAATACCGCATGTACATAGTTTATTAATACTTCCCCATCCATTTTGGTAACAATGTCCAATTTTAGTATATCTATTAATTT